TGCGTTGTGTTTCGTCGTGTGAGTGAGGTTACCGGGGGCCCAATTACCCCCGTTCCTAGTCTCCCGAATCCTCCACAATCCTCAAATTCTCAATTCTCAAAAGGCCGGTAACGCACTTGTGTTCCGGGTGTCCATGGGCGGCGTCGGCCATGGACGCCGCCGCCGGCCGCGGCATCAGGTGATCCGGCTGCTCGTTTACCGGCTTATGCTAAAAAAAAACGAGTAATTCAGGGATCAGAGCTAAAAGACAAAAACTAGCTGGTTTATATGTTTGTTCTCTTATTTATAGAGTAAATAAATACATCGTTACCTTTGATTAATGTTTTGTAATATTTATGACCTAATAATTTTTCGCTAGCGGCCCGGGATCCTATGACTGCAACGTTTTTCAACCGTAGTGAGAAAAAGGTTGAGTATGGCTTCTTAAGAGGAACAGAAGTTAAGACTTATAATGCTTATAATATTGTCATACTTTTGTTATTATGTGTTGCCATGGCACATATTTGTATGTTAGATGTTTCATTTAATATTCAAGTTTGGTGTAACAATTTTGTCCTCACAAAGTGTCTTCTTCCCTTCTGAAGTTTCGGAACGAAGTTCCGGAATTTCGATTTCAAAGATCGAGTATTAAATAAGTTTCACCTTTGTGTTAATGTTGTATGAATTTATTGATCAAAGATTTGTGAAAATGATTTCGGTAGGTCGTTCTGAATTGCGTTTATGGTTTATTTTTGGGGTGTTCAATAAAGGTGATGTAAGGTAAAATGTACGGCTTGATTGTCAAGTATAATGGTCTGAAGTTTAACGGTATGATAGGGTTTAAACTAATATTGAATTTTTTGATTTCAAAACTGTCTGTAATAAGTATAAAGTTTCACATTACGTTTCATAAAACATTATTTGTCTATAAGCATACTTCGACTCAATCTGCGACATTATGCAAGTTTATGCCAACACAGTGGGCGTATATTTTTATGCCGTCATAGTTTGACTATTCAGAATTTATGCAAAATTGCAAACCATCACTCATAAAACCCTAAATCACAGCAAACGCATTCATGAATGAATAAATCTCCAATATCACATCTCATATCTAACAACGTCATTACAAGATCACTGTGATGATAAATATTCGCGTCTCTCAGAGCATTATACTCGGCAGTTTTTCATAGCAGTAGCCAAGGGGAAAATATGGTGATTTATATTCCTTGTTGGCCTTTCACCTGGCTTCACTCTGTCTGTACGATGAATGACCTTGAACAATTTCTTCTCCCACAAATTCCCCTTATGTGATTTAGTGTCTGCTAATGAAGAATTATCCTAGTTGCTTGTATATCTTTGCGATTTATGACCGTAATTTGTGCAAATGTTTCTGTGTTTTGTTGTTTCTCAGCAATTGTGTAAGATATGAGTGGTTATGAGTGTTTTTGGGTAATTATATTCTTCTTTTGGTTGAGTATTTTTATGCATTGTTTACTATATTGAATGATTGACTAGAACATTAATAAGAACTTATTTTATTAGTTAGTAGTAAAGTAGGCGCATATCAGTCCTAAGGCTTATATGCCTAATTTGTTTTTGTAATTAAACTGTCAAACACCAAGCGGTCACCGGTGACCGCAACCTATTGTTCTATAATTGTGTCTACAAAACCGGTACTCGACGAGTTAAAGAGGCTAATATGATTCAAATTATGTCAGAATTTTCGAAAAAATTACGTGTAACAAACACTTTTCTGTAAACTGTATCAAAATCAGTTCAGCCAATCAAGAGATGATTGTGGACAAACATAGATACATACTTTTTTTTAAATCGATTAAAAATAGGTTCCAAAATTTTTGAAATTTGTAACTACTTACCATATTATGTTTCTATAACTAGATAAATATCTTTAGATAAAACTTTTTGGCGATTGCCACCAATAACTTGACCAACAAACCAAACCAACCAAACTGTTGACAGTTTCAATAACCACAAAAATATTGCTCATCGAATATCAAACGTCACTTGAATCCCGATATAATTTTATCCACACAATGAGTTTTTTTCCCGACTTCCCATTTACAAGCAACCCGCTTAAAAGGGTACAGAAAATTTTATCCCGAAATCAGGATGGCAAAAATCTCTCCATTCATAACAGTTATACAAACCTATTCCATTTATGTCCCACTTTTCCTCTACTTTTCTTCTCTTTCCCTCGTCACGTTTCGAAGTCATTGCCCGTGACTACCGCATTGGACTCAGGTAACAATATTACAAAGCGAACCCTACCCAACCTTTTAATATCAATTGGCGATGCGTATTTTATTAAGCGTTTTGCTGTGACGATATTTTAAATGGTTTTTTTTGGTATGATGGTAAGTTGGTTTTGGTTTTATATCTGCTGAGAATGAAGATTTTGTGTTTGTTTTTTTATGGAATCGGAGGCAAACGAGTTGACGGATTACCTGATGGACATCATAAGACTCACAGGTGCGTTGCCGGCTGTTTAAGCATGGAATACGCTCTTTTCTTGAAGGTTTGAAGGTCATATCGTTCTTCAGACTGACAATATGCTACTGGGGTTTTTATTTTTATTATAAGGTATGTGATGGTGGAAATACAACTGATATCGTACTCGATACAGGGTAATCAATGTTTATTAATAATGTTATGAAAAACAATCAGTGTTAGAAACTGAATATGATAAAGCAATTAATTTCAGTAACATTTTCATTAATTTCATTACCAAAAGACTCTGAAAATCAGTACTGGGTGACTTGACACTGGCTTACACTGAGTGGGTAACCCATGTAGCATAGGCATGTTGTCAGCGTCTCTTTTCTGATTCTACTTCTAATGTCACACTTTTATTGTCTTTTTATATTTTACTTATGCTGCACCGTGGCTGGTGCTGAAAAAAACGTTTTTTTCTTTCTTTCTATCTGTGAACGACCAGATTAAACGTTCATCATAAAAATAACTGACTAGATTATAAAAATAAAATGTTATTAAATGGACTAACCTCGTAACATAATATTCAGTTTAGGCTTCGCACGCCAAAATATTTAAATGCTACCTACTGTATGAAAACCAAAAATAGTTTTATTTAGATTTGCATATTGTAAATGGATTCCGCGAGTATTTTAGAAATTATTCATTGAATTTCGTTGTTTTGTTGTGCTGTAAATAAAAGTTATGAATAATGTAGAGGTAGAAACGATAACTGATAAATATTTTGCTTTCCTATTTTTCATGGAACCACGGAGTGCAATACTGACTGACCTCAATCACTTGGTATTGTTGAATAAATAAATCAAGACATCAAACCCCATCACGATTTGTATGTAAACAGTGAAATCTTTCTTAATAAGAATTAAATTTTTTCTTGATAAGAATGAAGCGAAAGAGTGAAGCGAAGGAATCGTAGTAATTGGCATTACCCACGTCTCTGCCTACCCCCGTGGGAGACAGGCGTGAAGCTATGTATGTGTTTTTTTATGTCTACTTTACTTTTTGTTGTTTTCCTCTAATTAGGTCATTCGCCGATCTGGGAGCTATTATTCTTAAGAGTGTTAAATAAATAAAGGAGTAAGCGCGTCAGGCTTAACACAAGTATTGTATAATAACTTATAGGAACTGCCTCAATTTTAGACAGATATTGTAATTTTTAACCCGGCGGGAGTGTGGTGGGGTGTGGTATACCCCAGCACTAGTTTACCTAGGTATATTTTTTTAACTGGTAACAACTAAATTTCGTGGCTTCGTGTAGCTGGAGGTAAGGGGTTGCGGGAGGGGATAGTGGCGTGATCTCAGTGTTACGCCGGCTGATGATTGCAGTGCACGTGCGTAAACGTCCGTGGGGTAAGTCACACCCCGCCACATAGTTCGCGTATTGTTTTTATATTTTTTCTTTTTTTTTAATATTTATATTTACTTCTATTTTTTATAGTTTTTGAATAAAAATGGCAGTGGAGGCAGACGAAAGACGTATAAGGAGCATTATTGATGAAGTTTTAGCCGAATCTTCAGATGATGCAAGTTCTACCGAAGAATTTGATCATTGCAGTGAGCATGAGCTTGAATCTGACACGCAAGCAGTGTGTGATGACCTTGAAGCTATCAGCAGCGAGTGGGATTCGGATGACAATATTCCCCTTGCTGCAAAAAGAACCCGTCTATCTCCTGGGCCTGATCATGTAAGTTACCGTAAATCTAAAGATGGCCAAAAATGGTACAAACATCCTCCACGTACCAATGTCCGAACTCGATCGGAGAATATAATAGCTGATAAACCTGGAGTCAAAGGAGTTGCCAAAGAGGCTAAAACTGTAGTAGATTGTTGGAAACTATTTATTACCGACGAAATTATAAGTATTTTATTGATACATACAAATGAAGAAATTTTGAGGCGACAAGTAAATTGCAAAGATTCTAATCAATATATCATGAAGGAAACAACTTCATCAGAATTGGAGGCGTTTTTTGGTTTACTATATATTGCTGGAGTAATAAAGTCAGGCCGCCAGAGTTTGAAAGACTTATGGAGAACTGATGGCACTGGAGTAGACATTTTCCGCACTACTATGTCCTTACAACGTTTTTATTTTTTACAAAACTGCATTCGTTTCGACGACAAATCCACCCGGCAAGAACGTAAAGCTACAGATAACATGGCTCACATTAGAGAACTGTTTGATATATTTGTTCAACAATGTCAGCAAGCCTATGTCCCATATGAGTTTATGACAATTGATGAGATGCTGTTAGCTTTTAGAGGTCGCTGCCCATTTCGTGTCTACATACCAAGCAAACCTGCGAAATACGGTATGAAAATTCAAGCACTTGTCGATTCTAAATCGTACTATATCTTCAATTTAGAAGTTTATGCAGGTAAACAGCCAACAGGGATGTATGCTCTCAGTAACAGCGCCTTTGACGTAGTAGAACGATTAATTCAACCTATATCAAAAACTAACCGCAATCTAACTTTTGATAATTGGTTTACCAGTCACAAGCTGATGATGCATTTGTTGAAAGAACACAGATTAACTTCTGTTGGCACTGTTCGCAAAAACAAACAATGTATTCCTCCTGCTTTTTTGAAGACTGGAAAACAACCAGGAAGTTCCATGTTCGGTTTCCAAAAGGACATTACTTTGGTGTCATATGCTCCTAAAAGCAATAAAGTGGTAATTGCAATGTCTACTCTTCATCACGACGACAAAATTGATGAAAGCACTGGAGATAAAAATAAACCCGAAATTATTACTTTCTACAACTCCACAAAAGCAGGAGTAGACGTCGTGGACAAGTTGAGCGCTACTTATAATGTGTCTCGCAACAGTAAGCGTTGGCCAATGACGATCTTTTATGGAATTTTGAACATGGCTGCTATCAATGCTAATATAATTTATCAGAGTAATCTGGATAAATCTAGTAAAAGAACAGAATTTCTCCGTAGTTTGGGTTTGAGTTTGTTGAATAAACATCTGCAGTTGCGACAAACACAGAAGAATATTCCATCTAACATTCGCCAAAGAATTTCGGGACAGATGGGGGAGCCATTGCGCCCAGCAGTGGAAAACAGTTCTGGACGATATGCTCGATGTGCTGATTGTCCTCGGAAAAAAGATCGGAAGACAAAACATGTCTGTGCAACCTGTAGAAAATCACTGTGCCTAGAACATGCAATATTTTCTTGCAAAAATTGTGCTGTCGGCGAGGCCTCTTACTAAAATATTCCATTTGATTCTATAAGTGTTTTTTAATTTTAATTGAAAGAAGATCTCATTTTTTTGTTAATTTAGAAGTTTTTATTTTGTTTTAATTATTATGGTTGATTTTATGAATATTTTAATAGCGCAAGTAAATTTTTGTCACCAAAAAGTTCTCAAATTGTTCAACTACTAAGTAAATAATAAAAGTTTTAAAAATATGTATTTATTTTTTTAATTTTATATTATAGGGATTGTCATTCATATTACTTAGTAATAATTTTGTAATATTTTGGAGAAATACTTAGATAGAAGACGTTTTATTCCGTGGGGTATATTACACCCCACCACATACTCTATGTAATTTTTCCGCACCACACTCCCGCCGGGTTAAGATAATAAACCTTTTGAATTTTAAATTTTTGGAAAACCAATAATAGCGAGGTGACATATCCAGACGAATATTATAACGCTTCCCTTACGTTCCGTTATTTATTTTCTAATCAAAATTCAATAAGAACATAAAGCCCACAATCGCAAAGCAAACATCGTGGAAAACGGCCTTTTCTTTAAACACAAGCTAAAACAGAGATCAAACGAGTTACAACACGCTTGACTGCGCTCGAACACTTACAGAATTAACTAAACTCCGTACCAAAGAGAATACAGGCTTTGTCGATGATGGCGTTCCGTTGTCATGACAACCAGACTATGTGTCACGGCCATCATTTGACCATTTGCGCGTTTGACGTCAAAGGGCAGGATTAGAATCTTGACGATTCGCTTGCGTTTCTGCGTTTGAAATCAGTCAAAAGCTTCGCTGGTATTTATCTAGATTGTACTGGTACTGGAGCCTTGTTTTATCTAAATATTATACTTACTAAACGTTTGATAGGACTGGGATGTCGTGGTAGCTCGGTAGTTTAAGACACTCGCTTCTCATGCATGACAGTGTGGGTTCGAAATCTATCAATAGCAAGTACCCATGTGTCCCTTTCCGAGTTATACATATGTATTTTCTAAGATTATTTAGGCACCACTGACCAATGATGAAGGAAAGCCAAACTTTATAAGTTTGAAATCGCCATCCCTCATTGAGCAGGTGTGGTGATAAATACTCAAACCTTCTGCGTGCGAAAAGAGGCCTTTAGTCAGCAGTGGCCACTTATAGGCGGTTGATGATGATGATAATGAGAATGATAGGATAGGGCCGTAATCCATACAATTATGAATGACCTTTAAAATGTGTTCATCAAAATAGTGGGTGTACTTTCCAGATTTGTGGACATTCTTTATCAGTTTAACTTATAAAAAATTGAATCTACACAGAGAGGCTCGAGGAGAGACACATTAGGTCTCCATAGGGAGATGAACAGGCGTTGCACTATGAGGGCTCTGGGGTTGGTCTACTAAGAAGAGCCTGCGCCTCATTCAGGCGCGGATGGTGGCCACCGGGGAGGTTTAAGTGAGGTAATAAGGGATTATGTGTGTGACTAACGAGTGTGGAAACACTCTTTAGTCTTTTTCCCCAAAAAGCTAGGCGGCTTTTGAAGGTTTCCCCCTGCCAACAATAAAAGGTACCATAAAATGAGAGAGTAAACATTAATTAGGAACATGACTGATGGTATATTATAACATGATACAATATATAATATAACACGTGTTAATGAAATTAAGGTTAAGATAATAGCGTTATCAATTAACGCTATTAGCACGATTACTATGTTAATACGTGTAAATATATATTATTTTCTTGCTTTGTGAAAACAAGATAATAAAATATTGAATAGGTATAATAAAATCTTGCAAATTTCGTTTATAGAATCTCTTGTTCCTCGAATGGCTTGAAATTAGACAAGTTGAATTTATAACCCACACATTTCATTAGTAAGTGATTTACCTAGTAAGAATACTTCAATTTTCCTGACCTAAAAACCTAAGCCGAGATCTTTCCTTAGAAACCACACTTCAACCACTTGATACACAATAAAGTAACCGAAAGAAAATATCATTTCGCCTCACTTATCAAAAATAAGAACAAAAATTGTCTACCAAGAAATCATTGAAAGTACAAACTCCTTTGACTTGCGTAAACTGTTCTTAGATGTTATCGCTTGGACTACGACAAAGTTATGACCACCAACCATTTCGAGTTAGCGATAAAGTCTTACCAGATAATTTTCGGTACCCGCACCGACTGAAGATAATATAATACAGGCTGATGTTCGAGTTTTTGGACAGAAATTCAAGTTTGACTGAAGATGAATTTGTATGAGGAAAGTGGCGTCTTTTTCAAACTCAAGGTCAACGTTTTGAAGGTCTAGAACAAAATGCTTTTTTATATGGTCGTCTACAATACTACATGATTATATTTTAGTGACATAATATAACATACTGTGATAGTATGTTTAATCCCTGAAGGAGTAGGCAGATTTGCACAATACGGCACTTATTGCCACTGTATAATGTAACACCCACTTTAATTTTTATGCCATGAGTCACATGTAGTAGGGGTGATCTTATTGCCATATACCGGGCACAATTCCAGGCTCCGTGCTACTACTGAGAGTTTTTAAAAACCTCAATAATACCTTGCTCGACCCGGGAATCAAACCCGAAACCCATTGACCGGCAGTCGCATTTGTGACCACTCGGCCAACGAGGCAGTAGATTATAATAGAATGAAGGTCAAATCCTTAAACACCACTAGATTTAAAGTCGCGCTTAAATATAGTTCAGTCATATCAAATTCTTTGTAAAATTATAGAGATGGCATGATATTGAGGTATTTTAACATTGAGTAGCCTTCTAGTATTCTGGCAATACTGTGACAAATCAAAGTAGCTTAGGATAAGTACACAAAAAGATGATAGATACAGCAATCAAGCTACCGTACCAAGGTAGGCAGTACCTTCACAGTAAAACTCTGAAAAAGAAGACAATGTGATTATATAGAGGTAATCACCGAAATTAGGCATCTACCCTATTGTCAATTCTAGCTGTATCTAAGTTTTCTAAATATATTGAAATAAAATAATTACGTGAGTAAGCCGAAAAACATAATAAGTAATATTAAGACAGTGATATTTCGGAATTTACTTTCAAGTGGTGAAAAATAACTTTTTTCATCAAACCCTAGCAGGAGGGACGTCAGGAGAAAGATGTCAAAAATGAACATTCACAAAATGGCAGTTAATGTCCGCATTAACATATTTTTGTTTGATACGAATACTTAAGAAGGAACTCCTTGTTTTGTATAAACAGTATTTTATTTACATAAATTCACCAGTTTCAGTGAATGGTAATCAGACAGGTATGAGAACTTGTAGCTAACTACCTCTATATTAACGTTACATAAAATTATGACTGCCTCATTGTCCGAGTGGTCGCAAGTGCGACTGCCGGGCAAGGGGTCTCGGGTTCGATTCCCGGGTCGGGCAAAGTATTACTGGGTTTTTCAAAAAAATCCCAGTAGTAGCACGGAGACTGGAATTGTGCCCGGTATATGGCAATAGGCTCATCCCCTATTACATGAGACTCATATCATAAATAGTGAAAAGTGGGTGTTACATTGTACAGTGGCATAATGTACACCTCTGCCTACCCCTTCGGGGATAAAAGGCGTGATGTTATGTTATGTGAAATTATAATCACACTACTAACAAATAACTTATAGTAAGTTCAGGATATGAGCCTGGTTGCTCTAATTTTTTTGTAGGAGTCGCACCATTGTCGTAGATGAGGTTATGTTGGCTTTCTAGCGCATTAGTACCTATTTTATAAATACGTGATTTTGATTGATGCTGGTAGTCTTCTATTTGAGGGGGGAAAAATTATCCAATGACTTCTCCCGCCCTGGTGAAGGACAAGAGGGAATGTCAGACTCTTACTGACTAAAAACCACCCGTTCCTACTCCTGCACTTCGAGCTGGAGCCCCGGCAACCCGTTAAGTTTTCCGCGGCTCCGTATCAGCATGCTGGTAATCTAGGATTGTCAAAAAGTGTTTTTAAATATGAAAATAGTTTAACGGTACTTATCAAATGTAGGAAGTTAACAATATCAACAAATCACACCTTTAACAATGTCATAGAATTCTGAATTCGTGTCTCTCATATTAGGGTTTTACATGTCCTAGAACTAATATGCGCTTTGTTGTCTAAGGGATTTCTACGAAATATTTTCCTCCTGTTTTTTTACGCCAGCCCTAGTATTTTCTTGAATACATCCGAAATATACAGAAGACTAAATTCTTATAAAAAGAAGCGGCTATCTCTCTAAATGCCACATAACTTTATGCCATTTGACAAGGTCCGCAAGGATGGCAAACTTTAAATTGACGGGGTCTCAGGCTTGCTTCTTGTCATAGAAAGTACTTACCTAGCAGATATAGTTCACGAGAACTTTGTCAACTACGTTCCACATATGTAAGTATAATTGAATTTATTTATTAATGCATTGTGATTGATAACAAAGACGATAACGTCTTTCATAAATAGTCAAAGAGTTAATGAATTATGAACGTATTCTATCTTAGCTTTAGATAATAACCAAGGGATGGTAAAGTAAGTCCCATAATATTCGTGTCAGTAACATCACATCGTGTTCAAATTCTACCTACAAACAAGAAGTTCATACAAAAACCAGCTGAAATTAACCCTCAAACGAGGAAATATATTCACTGACAAAAACTTTCAACGGAGGCACAAAAGGCCTGTTAATGTCCGTATTTGCATTTTTTATTTCATATTTTTACGTTTTACAAATGGTCACACTGAGGTATTTAGGCGCGGAAAAGTCAATTTATGTTTTTGAACAAGTACCCTGATGTTTTTCTGTCGTTAGGTTGCGGTTTTGGTGAGATAAACGAAGCGGAGAGGCGAGCTAAAGCGAATGTTGGAATGGCAATTTTTCTTTTACATTGGTCACTATCAATCGGCTGACCTGGAAGTCATTGGACGAGGATTATGTTCAGCCTGAATAGGGAGCAATGGAAATCGTTGGAGGAGGCCTTCACCCGAGG